AGAGAGAGAGAGAGAGAGAGAGAGAGAGAGAGAGGTCTTCTTGGTCGGATTTTAGAGTGCATGTGCTTGTTGGTGGGGAGATGGGAGGAAAGGATGGGCTGGGTGGGTGGGGAGATGGGAGGAAAGGATGGGCTGGGTGGGTGTGAAGCTGCTCAAGAAGATGCACAACGGAGTGCAGGTAAATACAGTGCAGATGTTGTGCAAGTTGGACGACCCTAGAACATGTGTTTCGTCTGAGCTGGTGAAACTTTCCTTGCTTCAGCATAATCCGTAGTTAAGCTCTGGCCATGTGATGAGCTTGCCTGTCATTCCAAAAAATCAGTGTTCTTCAGCAAGATGTACAATTGCAAGGAATATGAGCGAGAGCGGTAGACAGAGAGTTGCAAAATCACGAGGTAGCTCAGATAGTCATGAACTAAGCAGAGAGAGCAATGCACCAAGATACCGTCCAAATAAGAGCAACACAATGAATTCGAATGGCAATGTCGCACTCTCTGGTCACACCAACAATGTATCCAATGTCGCACTTAGTGTCTGGTGCTCAGCGCCCAGCCTATCCTACTCAGCCTATCTAACCCATGTATGTTCTCACAACTGGATCACTCTGAAGTCAAACACCAATGTACGTGACGTCAACACCAATGCCAATCACCTATACACCAGGTACGTTCTCTCTCCTCTCGTCATCACCCCTCATATCCCCCAGCATGCGCCTCTTACCCGAAGACCACCTTCGCTATCACCTGTCTTGCGCCTCTGCAGCCCGGGTATGGCTGCTGTGCGTCCGTTGCCCTTGCAGCGGCCCTCACCTCAGCGCCCGTGTGCGCGCCGTACCAGCAGCGCCCATGCAGACACTTGTGCAGCAACGCAGAAGAATGTCTGCATTGCCTGCCTAGGCCAGAATGACCCTTCCTGGGCTGGCCTCTTTCCTTATGGAAAGTGCAGCCCCTGCGCATGTTTGCCTGGGCCTGGCTGGGGAAGTTTCCAGTAGCTTCCAGTCAGGCCGCAGTCTCTGCGCCGAGGCCCACCTCTACAGCTAAGGGCCTGGGCCCTTTTTGGCTGGGCACGTATAGGTAGCCTCCCAGGCTCCAAGGGTTTGCCACATTCTCGTTGGCTTGCGAAGATTGTGTGACAACAATGCTGTTTTCTCATTCATCCGGGGCCGCTGCTTGATGTGTCGACTGAATGCTGCTTGTGCCCAGGGTGCAACCACCCGGCCCTGGGCTCAACAGTACAGGGCAGTCCTTGTTTTCTGGAAAGAGCCTGGAGGCTCACGTTTCCCTGCAACCAACTGGCGTGGTGCAACTGTCTGTGTATGCACATATGGAAAATGTCAAAAATAGGCCTCTTGTGGATATTCAGGCCTGCCTTCGCTTAGGGCGGGCACAAGGCTGGCTGGGGCCCACAGCCGAGAACACTTGCATGCCTGTTAGGGCCCTGTGAGGGCTCAGTCCTTGCATTCCATCCCCCTTAGCTTTGAAAGTCCGCTGAGATTCTTCTACGCAGGTGCTTTCCCCTTCAATTTATGTTCATACTCTGCCATGACCTGAGGTGTTGTTCTAACAAGCTCCTCCTTTGTGAACCATCAATCTTCCTTTGGATGCGTATGGTACCTGAACCGGACCCGGTATTCCCTCATAGGTTTGGGTCCCTGCCAGCAGGTTTGGGAACAGGCACGTCTCTGTGTTCCAAAACGCCGTCGACGTCGACGTGGCCATCCATGGTTGGGGGCAGCATGGATCTTCTTGATGGGAACATATCTGTCTCAGCGAAAGGCGCAAGCTTTGAAGCGTAAAACACAGGGTAAGTGTGCAGATATGCAGGGATTCTAATGACATACGAGGGTCATCCAAATCACTACCCACAATATCCTTCCCAAGGACCGAAATACTGAGGCATTAGTTTTGTAGCGATGCCAAATTCCTGATCCAGTTAGCTAGCCTTCAACCAGACATGTTCCCCTACCTGAAATGTGGACCGCCATCTGTGTTTGTTCTCATAGGCGATCATAGCCTCTTGAGACTTCCTAATGTGCTCGACAGCCTGCTATATTAACTTTTCATATTGGACACCGAAAGGTTCCAGGCGTTGCAGCTGGTCGGTTTTCGGGAAGGAGGAAGTCTAGTGCAGATCTAGGCTTCCATCCCAAATGCAGTTCATCCGGACAGACGCCTGTGGTGCTGTGAACTGCGTTGTTATACAGACTGGCGATGGGAGACAGCTTCTCATCCCAATCATCTTGGTTGGGCTTAATGTAATGCCGCAGCACGTGTTGCACCACGCTGTTCATCTGAAGTTGGCTGCCCATTTGTTCAGCAGCCTTCTTCCACGTTTCACTCGTGAATTGGACATCTCTGTCACTATCCCCACCAATAGATGGAGCCCTCCCCAGGTGCTAGCGGTGTCTGCTCGTACCAGCACCACTAGCACCGACGGGTGCGTTGTTAAAGCAAAAAAGAAAAAAAAAAAGAAAAAAAAAACACAATAGACTTGGGCAGTCCAAAATCACGCTCCCAGTCAATGAATAACTTGATGATGTGTCAGTCCTTGCAGTTTCAGGCATGGCTATTAGTCTAGGATTCTTAGTAAACCTCTCCACTATGACGAAGATGTCTCTTGCCACTCTTGCTGGTCACGAGGGTATCCATAAAATCCAAGGAGACACTCTGCCCTGGACCTGCCGGAATGGGCAAGGGCTTGAGTAACTCTAGCGGTGCTCGATTACACGGCTTGTCCCACTGACAGACTTGACAAGTCTGTACATACTTCTCCGCGTTGTTATGCGTACTAGGCCATCAAAATCGTTGTACTAAACTAGCACTAGTCTTTTTATATCCGAAGTGATCTGTCGCATTATGACGCTCACCTAAAAATAAACTACACAAAATCTCACTTGCCGGCATACATAGCTGGGTTACGCCGAGGCCCGGTCCAGACGGACCGGGCCTGACGGACCAGGCCAGACGGACGGGGGGGTGTCCGTCCGGCAAAACCAGACGAGCCAAAAAACGTCCCAGGAATTATTTTATTTTATTTTTGAAAATGGGGTTGGAGTGCGCTCGCTGAGAGGAGCCCGAATCCGCGGAGAAACTTGTGAAAGACTTCTGTGGAGGGGGGGGAGGGGAGGGGTAGTGGAGGTGCTTGCAACTTTTCCTTTTCCTTTGTCTGCTGCCGTTTTGCCTCTCCTCCTTCCAGACCTGCCACTCCCCCCACCGACGCTGCTGCCACCGCCCGGCATACTGTCTTGGAAGTAGAGGATGCAAGGACCAACAGCGAGGGGAAAAAGAAAGTACAAATATCGGAAGTAGAAGGAGAAGAAGAAGAAGAAGAAGAATTAGAAGGAGGAGAAGAAGAAGAAGAAGTCTGTGCGGTTGTGAATGGGGCTGCTGTCTGCCCGCTCACGTCCTTTTTTAGGGGCAGGAAAAAAAAAACGAACGGGCAACAGCGGGCAGTAGGATATGGAAGGTGGTACAACATGGCTGGCGGATGTGCGAGATGGTGGGCGGTAAGATATGGACAAGGAAAAAGACGAGGGAAGAAGAAGAAGAAAGGAGGAGGAGGAGGAGGAGGGAAGAAGAAGACAAAAGGAGGAGGAGGGAGAAGAAGAGGAGGGAGAAGAAGAGGAGGGAAGGAGGAGGAGAGGAGGAGGAGAAAAAAAATGGAGACTTGAAAAACGAAACAGGCGAAAGGAGGAGGAGGAGAGTAGAGAAGAACAAGGAGGAGGAAGCGTAGGAAGAGGAGGAGGAAGAAGAGGAAGATCAACAAAGGAGGAAGAAGAAGATGATGAAAAGAGGAGGAGGAGGAGAGAAGAACAAAGGGGCAGGCGGAGGAGAGAAGGATAAGACGAAAGGAAGAGGAGGAGGAGAGAAAAAAAAGGAGGGCAAGATGAAGGGAGGAGGAGGAGGAGAGAAGAAAAGCAAGACAAGAGGAGGAGGATAGAAGGAGAAGACAAAAGTAGGTGGAGGAGGAGGAGACAAGGAGAAGACGAGGAGGAGTAGAGAAAAAAAAGTAGATGAGAGGAGGAGGAGGAGGAGAAGGAGAACACGGAAGAGGAGGAGGAGGAGGAGGAGGAGAACACGAAAGTGGAGGAGGAGAAGGAGAGACGAAGAAGACGGGGGAAGGAGGAGGAGGAGGAGGAGGAGGACCTGCCAGATTCGAATGGTGATGACAAAAAAAAGAAGAAGGAAAGAAAAAGGATGACGAAGGAGGAGGAGGAGGAGGAGGAGGAGAGAAGAAGAAGAAGAAGAAGAGAGAGAGAGAGAGAGAGAGAGAGAGAGAGAGAGAGAGAGAGAGAGAGGGAGAGAGAGAGAGAGAGAGAGAGAGAGAGAGGAAGAATCCCGCCCGTCAGCACATTAACTGGCCGTGCAGCTCGCCTATCCCGACACGTGCCAGCTGTGAGCGTCGTGTTGCCAAACACCACGTGGCACTTTGTGTACCAGAAGAAACACATGAAATAGGTAGGAGGAGGAGGAGGAGAAAGGAGGAGTAGAGAAGAAGATGAAAGGAGGAGGAGAGAAGGAGATGAAAGGAGACGAAAGGAGGAGGAGAAGGAGGAGGAGGAGGAGGAGGAGGAGAAGACGAAAGGAGGAGCTGGAGGAGAGAAGAAGACGAGTAGAGGAGGAGGAGGAGGAGGAGGAGGAGGAGAGAAGGACAAGACGAAAGGAGGAGGAGGAGAGAAGAAAAAGAAGAGGGCAGGAGGAGGTTAGGACCTGCTGGATGTCGATAGCGATGACGGAAAANGAGAGAGAGAGAGAGAGAGGAAGCCCACCCGTCAGTGCGTCAACTGGCGGCGGGATTTCACTGCAGCTTGCCTATGCCGGCACGTGGCAGCTGTCAGCTTCTTGTTGCCGCGTGGCACTTCGCGTACTAAAGGAAACAGATGAAATCGGGAGGAGGAGGAGAAAGGAGGAGGAGAGAAGAAGACGA